ATCCAGTACGGTACTAGAAAAAGTCGAATAGCTACTCGAGTAATTAATGATATGAACTCGAAGTAAGGTCGAGTACGTGAATAGCAATGTAACGTGTGCTTGAAAAACCAATCGAGTACAATACTCGAATTCCCAATCCCTACTTTCCATTTACCATATTTCCATCATGGCGACGAAGATGGGGTTATTCAGAATTGCTGCAAATCAACTTGCTTGTTTGCTCAAGCAGACATCCTTAAGAGGAACGACTGCTAGCAGTACTAGATGCATGCACTTCAATTATGTTCCCGAGACGCCCTCACAAGATCATGGTATGAATCAGGATCTAATCTATTAGGTCTCTTTATTCTGTCCTCTACGAGCCTCTCTAGACTTTTCGACTTTTCATAGCGGTCGTTCTTTTCGCATTCTCATGTTCAACTAATCTAGAATCTATATCTAGATATAGATCTATCTAGAATCTAGATCTAGATCTAGATCTAGGTCTAGAAAATCTAGAATCTACTAGATCTACTTTTGCCTAGATCTAGATCTAGATCTAGATTCTCTATGTCTCAACCGCAGCCGCAGGTATTTTAGGAGTTTAGCACAGTTAAATGAGCGGTTTTTATGACTTATTTTTCGTAATGCTATTTTTGTAATGTATAGAGTAGGTTCAGGTCAAACCGGCTGCGGGTCAAACCGGCCGCCATCAGACTCAATGTCTACTTTCCTTTGTTTTAGATTTGTTCGATGAATATTTCTACAACCCAAGCAGACGTCTGCTAAGAAGAAGAGGTTTTCCGTGCCGTTTGAGTGTGGGCAAGCCTTGAGAAGGCCAGACAACTTTCGTTTTCAATAGATTTCTTCACCGACATGAGTTTCCCTTTCATTGTTATGGGTTGCAAGGAGTGACATGAAGTTGCTGCCTTAGTTGGAACTGGGTCTTTATTAAGGAGTTACGGGTCAACCATAACATCATATGCTATTTATTTTAATATTGCTAGATGGTACGCCCTATTTGGGTCATCTCGGCGGTGTTCGTCTTTCATTTTAGCCCCTTTGCGGGGTGGCTCGTTCGAGCAAAGAATTTTTATGCAATAATAATTTAATAATAATAATGATGATGATAATAATGATAATAATAAGAGGCTAATAATAATAATCTTTATTGTCCTTGAATGGCACATTGATTTGGTGTGTAGGCATACATTTTACATCGTGCGTACATGCATACATAATTTTGATTCCAGTAATTATTTGTGATAAAATTTTAAGGGGGGGGGGGACAGCACATGTGTTCAGCCCCCCTCCTATAATGTATCACACCCTTCAAGGAGTTCCACGAGAACTAAGAAAAAGAGGAGGCGGCAAAGAAAAGGGCACAGGAAGAGAGGAAGGCAGAGATGTTGAGGAAGAGGGAGGAAAAGATGAAAAAGAAGTTGGAAGAGAAGGACAGCAAGCGCCTGGAGAGAAAACAATTTAGTAAGCCGAAAGGTTGGAAGAGAATAAGAAGGAGGCAGCAATGAACGGGAAGAGCAAGAAGAGAAGAGTGGAAGAAAGTGCAAGTTCGGGTAATGATGAGTAGTGTATGATGACAGGTCGGATGTTGAGATCATGGATATATTATATATATGAGTTGTGTGGTGTGAATGATGTTCATGAAAGTGTATGTGCTGTTTGTGCAAGTAACAGGGACCTGGATGGATGGATTGAGTGCGAATGTGGGAGATGGTATGACAGAGGATTTACAGGTAAGGACAGAGAGAAGATTCTGGCGATTAGTGAGGTGACAAGCGGATTCTACTTTGTGTGTACGATGTGTGGGTGTTTGTAGTTTGAGACCCTGTAGTAGGCATAGTTTTTCTTGAGTTTTTAATATAAAATTCATAATCAGTCCTTATAAGACAGCCCCCCCCTCCCCTTTCTCTCTCTCTCTCTCTCTCTCTCTCTCTCTCTCTCTCTCTCTCTCTCTCTCTCTTACTTTTCCTCTCTCTCTTTCTCTTACTTTTTCTTTCTCCATCTTACTTCCTCAGGCCCACCCCCACCACTTTCACCCTTTTTTTTGCGTAGAGCTATATTCCATCCCATACCGTTGCCCACTGCCCGGTCCTACTATTATATTAAAGAAAAGACCACAGTTCGCACTGGGTTTTCACGGTCGGCATCCATTTGTTGTAAGTTCCTTGGCCAGTTCGTAGAAACCGAGGAAGGCCAAGGTCGAATTGCCTGTCTGCTTCACACCTGGTACACCAAGTGATTGCGCACGCACATTGGAGTTTGAGTCTGAATAGCCATGGAAGGCTATTCGGACTCGAATTCAGACTTGAGAGTCCAAATAGCCTCCTGCGGCTGTTCTGACCCGAGTCCGAATTTCCGCGGCCATTTAAGAATGATCTTGCTCACTTCTCCCCCTACCCTTTTCCCTTTTGCTTCTTTTTTTTTTCACCCCCTCCCCCCCCTCTCTCCACCTTGGCCTGCTTCCATTCTCCCTTGTTTCTTCTAACAACTTTTATTTTTGAATTGTCAAATATTGCGAGGTCTGCCCGCACAAGGGAAGAGGATCGAAGTCGTGTTCAGTGCGCTGAGCGGGGGAGGTCTTGTCGACCGCGGCTGTGCTGTGCCCGCTGTCATCCTCCGTAAACTCTGTTGCTTTTGGACTACTGCTGCATTATTTTTCACCCGAGTATTCCTGTGCCGTTTCCTCTGTAACTTTGAGCGGCCGTAGTCAGTCGTGCCTCTGTGCCAACGGTGGATGATTCAGGGCTCCGTGAACGTAGCCTGCATACTACGTTCACAACGCTGTGTATTTTCATCATGACTCACTTTTTTGCACTCACCGAAATTCCCCTGGCCCCACCCCCCCTCCCCCAAGCCGCCTAGATTTTTTTTTACTCAAGAG